TTAATCTTACCAAGAATGGCCTGTGTATGTGATGAACTGATGAGCACATATACCTTATTTCAAAAGACAGAATGGAAGGAGTTTGTTTTTCAAAGACCAGTTTAATGTCTGAATAAAAAAAGAAGGACAGTGGAAGTGTTTTGTGGAAGACATGGCCCTATTTAAAAATGGTACTCTGAGCAGTTTTTGTGGAGACAATATGCAGTATAACAACCATGGGTGAATTCCTACTATCCTGTCTAGTGAAACTATACATTGTCTCTAATGTTCTTTTAAATTACAATTTTCTTATTCCCTTTAATGGTTTGATCAATCTTTCCTTCTTACATCCGGTAATCTGAGCAACTTCGTTGAAGATAACGATATGTAATACAGCAACTTCTATTAACCCCTATCATTTAGTTTGAAACCCCATATCATTTTTAATGTCTTTGTTTTGTTTGTATTTTGCTATTGTTCTTTTTTTCACTATTCTCTTTAAAATAAAAAGAAAAAGCAGTTATGCGTTGAACCAAATGAACTGCAGTCAGACTTCATTCATTCAAATGTTTTGCGGTGACACAAAAGTAATAGTGACAATAACCACTAGTGCTTGATGAGCAGTCAGTGTTTACCAGGAAGTTTCTGTGCTTGTCTTATCCTCAATTTATAGATAAGGAAATGGAGGTAGAGATTCAATAACTCAAGAGATAGTTGGCAGAGTGGGGAATGTTTGAATATTCTACAACCTTTCGTTTTAATGGTTCACTGTAAACTACTGGTCCAGACACTTTTATTCTCTGTCAACCTGCAGGAAATCAATGACAGTTCTCACTGGGGCAGGTACAGAAATCCAAGACTGAGCCTGCATCCAAATAGTCCTTCCGGAGGCCTCTCACTTCCTGGTGTGTTGAACAGAGGCTTTCCACTTGGAAGGCCGGGACAGCGCTTTCTCCATGTCTTAACACTGTTGGCTAGCAGCTCCTCTTCGCTTGGATGGTAGTTCTTCCCTGGGTTTCTTGCCACATTTTCATGCCCACCGGCGAAGTGGTAGTAGAACTTATTTAAATCTTTAGTCTTGCTATATTTATGCTTTTCATGACTATTTTTCTGGAAGGAGTGCTGAATGTATCTGAGGATTATTAGATATGAAAAATATGACCTGACATTTCCCTTTGCACGGTATGGGGAAGGCTTCGGGGATTGAGTCAAGCCAGTCCTTCACTTGAGAACAGACAAAGTCTTTAAAAGTGGTACATCACCTTTAAAACATATTATATTTGAATAGTACTCATTTGTGAGGCCTTCATTTTAAGAGAAAAATAGATACATGACATTGAAGATGTTTTCATTATACCATTTTGAGAATAATTTATATCAGGCAAGATCCTGTTTGTGGGGAGGTGAGGTTTAAGACAGGTTCTTGTTATGTAGTCCAGGATGGCCTTGAACTCACCATGTAGCCCAGACTGACCGTGAACTGGAAATGATCTTCCTGCCTCAGCCTCCCAACTGCTGAGATTACAGGCATGTGCTGCCACACATCCTATTTTTAGCAACCTTGATAATTGTATCTTTTGGTCCATGAAGTTTGTGTACTTCAAGTTCATATTTGTGAGGGAAGGGTAAATTAATCTAGATCTTAGAGGACATGATCACTAAATATAGAAATCAAAGATTTAGATTAAAGCTTTGCTGATAAAGTTTGGGAAGAGATTTATTCCTTAGTATTTGCAACTCACCTGAGCTGGCCTGGAAATCATTGAACAGTCATATGAAGATCAGATTACTCCTATTAATGCTCAAAATTGGATACGCAAAGTCTGGACAAGGTCCATCCCATGATGCTTAACACATCTTATTCTCAGGCCACCCTCAAGGCTGTTTCTTAAAATGAGCCATAGCCAATATCACATCAGCTACAGATGAAAACGTGAAGTCATCATATTTTGGAGTGACTTCAATGGGATAAAGTAACTGCAGTTTTGAGTATGATAAATTACTAACTCTGTTATTCCTCGGAGCAGGCCTCTATGCTTAGAGGGAGCCTAGGAAAGTATGATTTGTGTACCCAGTGATGCTGGAAATACGAAGTGAATCTTCTCATTGTAAAAGCTGTAAAATGTTGTAGCTATTGTCAGCCTACACCCAGATCGATGTGAATAGGAGTAGGGAAAAGGGATTAGAGAGGACAGCCTCTGGTTCTCCACGCAATCTTAACATGATGGGGGGACTTTATTCCAAGTGTTTTGCTAGAATTAACACTGCTGCCCCCAATTGACATAATAATCCCTTCTGGAGCTGGTAACTTTGACTTTCTGTCAAGACCCTCTGATACATAGGAACACGTGGGGCCCAGGAAATTCTGTGTCACAATCCCCTTGCCTGTGGGCATCCAGTCCTATATCTGTCCACTTCCAAGTCCTTGTAAAGAAAGGCCTGCCAGATTTTAGGCCCTCCTCTGTACTCTCAGTCTCTCTTCCATAGGTACTTCCTGTTTGTTACTTCAGGGAATATATACATATTATAAATAAATAAATAAATATATATATATATATATATATTTCCAAACCTTGAAGTCACAGAATCTTAATTTACACTCTACAATGTTGCTTCCTTTTGGCTTTTAATTTCACTGTGAATTACCTGCAGTAGCCCTGGGTAGTAAGGTTTCCCAACATCAGTTGGAGCTTCTAATCTGGAACTTCTATTTATTTAAACTGAATTAATTGTTGGCTCTATTAATCCTACAAAATCCATGACTCCTGAATGTTCAGTTTACTCGGAAGGAGTAGCAGTGTATTTATTCCTCCCCAGACAGAACTTCTTGGGGAGCATCAGGTGAGTTAGATAACATGCCTTGTATCTCAGATGATTTATTCACTCTCAACTTCCCTGAAATTGATTGCTAAAGGTTGATGCGAATGCTTTCAGTTTGGGCTCTAATATAATCTCCTGAATAGCAATTAATAAATAAAAGATGGTTACTGTATTTGACAGAAAATCTGGGCTTTCTCAGTTTTCTTCTTCCTATTTTTGCCAAACTTGTCAGACATCCCTAGGTGCTGCTGGTATAAAATATTTTCTGTAAGCTCCAAAGTTTTTAATATTGCTTCAATACCCCCAAACCTCTCTGTTGCCTTTTGTTATCTTGTCAGAAATGATCTTATTCAATTTCTATTTCTTCGCCTTCCCTCTTATGCATATAAGAAACATGCCTTTTTGTGAACTGCACGGTACCATATCCTCAGTATTTATGCTTGCAAGTAGCACCTGCAACTTGTCCTGAAATTTCTTCCATTTTTATTCTTGCTTAGTCTCACCTCTTGTCACAGTTAATGAACGTACACTGTTACCTATAAAATGTAGTGCTTATTGTCATCATGTACATTTTTAAACTGCAGAGTTGCCTCCTGTAAGTTAATAATGAATGCATGAAGCAATATCCAGTTTTTGCAGTTTGCTTGCCTTTCTAGGCTTCAGGGCTAATGTGGACTAATATCTTTATTTCAGATCTGATGAAAACGCAGACTAGTTTAAGTAACTTGACCATAAGAGAGCAGAGACCAAATTCTGCATTACACAGTGAAGTATGTGGTACAAAGCAGAAAAGCTCTGATCAGTTCCCAGTTGAAATGTTTATTAGATGTATAACATAGGGAAGTCAGTTCAGTTTTGTCATGTGTAAAATATGAATAGTAGTGCCAGTAGCCCACCTGTAAGGGTTATATAACAAAGCACTTAGACTAATGCTTGGCACAGGCTACTCTAGGCATTGTGAGCTGTTAGTGTTATTGTCATTATTTTGACCATTTTTAATGTATTTCAGAACAATAGAAAGCACATATTTTGCTAATTAACTTTATGTGGCTGTATATACACATCAAGCCGTTACTGTGCTTTTCTTGATATCCCTGTGGTACCTAATGCTATGTGAGGCCACTGGTAATAGTGTTCACAATGGCAGTGGTAGTAGAAGCAACGCTAGTGGTGACAAAAACAGAAGCCACGCTGTTTATGGAGCTTCCAATGTGCAAAGCATTGAAGTAGAACTCTAAGAACACAGTCCTTAATATGTGCTCAATCTGTATCTACTGAAAAATTGCCCAGGAGTTTTATTTCCACAAATGCAAGTGTGTTCTTGATGACAGAAATCTCCCTTGCACCTAAAGGAGAACATGCGTTTGGCCCTGGTGGAACAGCTTGGAATATAGAAACAAGAGCCTGGATGGATTCCTCCCATCTTTAAAATAATTCCTATGCTGCTACTACTTAAGTAGCCTAATCTTGTTATTAGTAGTTGGGGGACCAGCTCAGGTGGGAATGGGGGTGTCAAGGAACAGAGAGTGGAGGGGATCAGGTTCAGGCAAAACCCTACAAACTCTCAGAAAAGGATTTTTATTTCATTCCTTTTTATTTACATGCAGACTAAATAAATTCCATTCACTGTACACTAATAGCCATTAGGGTAAACATTTAGTCACAAAAATTACAATTGCTAATGTTTCCTGATTTCTTGGTATAATCATATAAACAACCATGGTAATAATAAAAGGTACAATATGTCAGTGTGCCCAGGATGAGTACTGAGAGAGAGGCCTTATGCTCTGTGTGTATGTGTGTATGTGTGTTGGTGTGTATGTGCACATGTGTGTATATGTGTGTACTTTCTATATACAATATCTGTAGAGAGACAGCCTTTCAAATTCACATGTGTGTCTACATATGTGTGTATATACATATGCATATACATTTCTCTGTAGAAGATATATTTAAATATTCTCAGCTCAAATCTTATCACAGCTTCCAAAAAAAAGAAACAAACCAAACCTCAGAGAAGTGAAACCACTTGCTCAAGGTCACAAAGAGTGGTAAAGCTGGCATGTAACCCCCAACTCCTATTCATTTAACATTGCCTTTTGAAAAATACACAAAAGGAAGTGATCCTCGAATGACATATTTCCACTGTACCACAGTGCCCCATTATGGGAGGGGTGACCTCTTGCCCTTTCTTTTTCCAGAATCTCCAAACAAAGATTTTGGTCCAACCCTGGGATTGAAAAAGTCCAGTTCCTTGGAGAGTCTGCAGACTGCTGTGGCCGAAGTCAGGAAGAATGAACTCCCTTTCCACAGACCCCGGCCACACATGGTCCGAGGCCGCGGCTGCAACGAGAGCTTCAGAGCAGCCATTGACAAGTCCTATGATGGACCGGAAGAACTCGATGCTGGTGAGGCCGTGCACTCCCTGAAGTGGCTTCTCCATCTCGTTATCATCTGCGAACCACAGGCGAGCAAGCGTCTGTGCTTAACTACAGAGGAAAATGATTTAAGGATTACAATTATATTTTTGATATTAAAAGTAATTCATTTTCCTGATATGTTTTGCCCTTTGGCTTAACGAACATGGAATTGGAGAACACAATGTGCAATTTATTTTACAGTGCAAATGCTAAAGAAATGTTCTCCTTAGCTTTCCTACAAGGACCAACTGTCATTTACCCTTAGGGTACTAGCACTAAGTATGCATTTCTTGACATTTTTATATGAGACATTAAAAGCAGCATCAACCAGAGGACTGACTGCATTAATTGAGTAGAGCAGTTGGGTTATATTTGTACTGAAAAAAAAAGCTTCTGGAAGGAAAGTGGCACTGTTTGTTTCCCAGCATGGGGGCTTTCTGAGCTGATCAGGTTTAACAAGCCAGCTTTCCGAGGGCTTAGTGCTTTGTACCATTCAGGCCCTTCGTATGACCACCCAAGCAAGCAGTGGGCTCAAGCCCAGCACCCATCCTTGCCTGAGATAACCAGATCCATGCAGTCCTGCCCTCAAAGCGTACAGGTAGCTGCATGCAAGGATAGAACTCTGGAGTACTTCCGTTCTTCTGGATTGTGCATCTTGACTTCCCTTTATATATAACCATGAGTGCTGCTGACCATGTGTATTGATTTTTTTCTCTCTGTTCAGATGGTCTGTCTGATAAGAGCTCTCACTCGGGCCAAGGGGCTCTGAATTGTGAATCTGCCCCTCAGGGGAACTCTGAGCTAGAGGACCTGGAGAACAAAGCCAGGAAGGTAAAAAAAACAAAAGAGAAGGAGAAGAAAAAGGAAAAAGGCAAGCTGAAAGTCAAAGAGAAAAAGCAGAAAGAGGAAAATGAAGACCCAGAAAGAAAAATAAAGAGGAAGGGACTTGGAGCCATGCTGAGGTATGGGCCTGCTTGGAAGGCCAAGTCGGTTTTGTTTCTCCTTTTACTTCTCTTGTTAACTCATTCCTTTGTGTGTATTCAGAAGCAAGTCAGTGCTTTCCCTCATTTTTGGCTAACAGCTTAAAAAAATCAAAAGTATGAAAGTATGTGATCCTTTTCTGCAGAGGCAAAAGGAGCCTTCTGGAGTGGCTCACATGAGAAGAAACTATAAGTTTGCCGTCATGAAAAGGCCCTTCCTTAGTAGGATGCAGGCCAAGCCGGAAGCCCCGTGTACCAAAGTGCTCCCCGTGCAGCCATCACTGGAAAGCCCAGAGAAGCCAGGAAGGCCTCAGCCATTCCCTGTAGACCTCCCTGAACAGGGAAGTCAGGCTCAATAAACCTCATTCTGCTGGGACTCCAGGTGTGCAGATGGCCAGTCAACTGCGGAGGCACTGTGATGCAATGGACGTGACTGGGTTTGGGTTCAGATAACCCTGGTCTGAATCCAGGAACCTCCCCCAATGAGCTGCAGAGCTTCCCACATGTTGCTTGCCTTCCCTAAGCCTGTGTTTTCTCACTTGAAAGGTTAGGTCTACATTCCTGCCCTAGCAACCCAGTGCAGGTGTGAGGTAGGAATGAGCTGCAGCAGCTTCACTGGCCAGGCAGGCGTAGCTAGGAAGTCACAAAAGAGCTGAATTTCTTCTCATCTAGCTAGCTTCAAAAATGCTCTTTTGAGGCTGTCTTCTCCCAATCCTGATATCTCAGGTTTCTGCCTGACAGCTTTCTGGTCACTTTGGGTAATAAAACACTATCTTTGTAAGGGACTCAAACAGCCAATCTAGTGCAGTCTGAACTTTCCTCCTCCCTGCCCCTCGGACCTCAAGCCCAAAGGGTGCCCTGCAGTGTGGTGGGAGAGGGATGCTGCCATCTCCTACTTCTCAGTCTCTGGAACCCGGGGAGGGAGAAGGATAAGGACAGCAGTACATGGGGAGAGTTTTACTTAAATGGTGAATCTGGTGTAACCAGTCATGGAACTCATCGTGGACCGCTGCTTTGGATTGTTAAGGAAGAACTTTACTGTAACAGTGTTAATAGAGGAAGTTCATTTCCTCGCCATCCTCAGATCTCTTACCCTTGGCCTCTGACTTCAGACAGCCCACCCTGGGGTCTCCTGACACCAACTGTAGGCTTTGTGGGGATGAACAGCTTGACATGTTCTCAAAACCTCACTTACTACCACTTGGTCCACTGAAATCTCCAACTCCTCACCCTCCAAGTGAGCAAGAGATTGCCGTTCCTGTCCCTTTCCCCTCGCCCTACCACGGGGATGCTCCAGCCTGCCCAGTGTCTTCAGGATTCTCCAGAACATATTGTGCTCTGGTTTGGGGGTCTCCCCAGCTCAGGCCACAGGCCTGGGACTCCCAAGAATGCTCTCCTGCAGCAGGGAGGGAGAGGGTCAGTGAGTGGTTACAGATCTCAAGAGAAATAGTAGGAAGGAGGATGACAGTCTACTATAATTTTCTATTAAATAAGTTAGCTTCTATACTTCTCTTCCATGGACTGATGTGAATGATGAGCTATGATAGATGGTGACCCAGCCTGGCACCACCTTGTGGAACTCTTAGAAGGTATCTCTCTAATGTGCTGGGTGGTCTGTGATACCAGCTGTTCTCTGCTTGGGATGTCCAACTGAGATTTTCCAACAGAAAGTAAAGTTCCATTCTCTTGGGCACATGTGAGGGTCTTATAAACTGCAATGTGATTGGGGGGATACAAATAGTGTTAACAGTTCTGATCCTTCCCATTCCGTGCTCAGAGCATGCCATGCCAATATCTTCCTGCTCACAGTCTTAGGTACTGTATCATTGCCCCTGTATATGTTAAGATACACTCTTATCTTACTGTCACCTGGGCTGAGGAGAGGGGACCCAAGCAAGCTGGACATCCTGGTACTCTATCCTCTGACTATCAAAGAACAAATTTTCAACAAACTGAGTTTTAAAGATCAAACTGACTTTCATTCCTGATTCGTGAATCAGCAGCATCCCACCTACAGAATAGGTGCTTGGATGAGCTGAGCAGAGGATGTGAGCCTTTACAGGTAGAAAAGGGCTGAGAAAAGCAGAAATAAGGAATTAAAAAGTGAAATTTAAAATTACTTGCCTTATAGGGTTAGAGCAGATAGGACTTCATTACCAGGGTGGTGTAGGGTGACTGGACCTTTTCTTGATGGGTTGTTGAGAAGCACCTGTTTTGGGAAAATTAGTTTACTTTGCTCATGGGGTATGCAGCAAGAGCAAATTCATTCTGGTTTGGTCGGGCCTGTTTTGTCCTAGTGTAAGAGCTCAGTCCAAAACAATGGCTTCTCTTTTACCTAATGTGACCTACAGTGGGAAAAATTCTCAATAGATATTGGTTTATTTTTCCTGGTGGTTTCTATAGACTCCCTCTTTACTTTTGCCACCTTGACTTTTAAACTTCTCTTTATTCTGAGTAGTTACTGATTGTCAGAAGAGAAGGGCTGTGATTTAAGCACTTGGTAATAATTATGACATGCAGTTGCAATGCATTTAGATGACAATTTAAAAATGGTGGTAGTACAAGCTTTGTATGTAGACCTCCAAGTTCAATCCTGGCTCTTCTACTTCCTATGTAAGTAACAATGGGCAAGTTTTTTTAACCACTATGTCTCGGTTTCCTCATCTGAAAAATGGGAATAATACTAGAATCTACCATTATTGTTAAATTATAGTGTCAATTATATGTTACTATGCTTGGCAAGTATCATTCAGTAGTCAGACCTAACAGTGGTCCCCAAAAGATATCTATGTCCAATACCTAGTATCTGGATATATGTTATGTTATATGGCAAAGGATAGTTAAGCCTCTAGATGGAATTAAAGTTGCTGGTCAGCTAACTGTAAGGTAAGGTGATTACTCTAGGTTTCTTCAGTGGGTCCAATATAATCACAAGGGGCCTTAAATGTGGAAGAGGGAGAAGAGACTCAGGAAGTAAAGGACAGAGAAACACAGTGCTACTGGCTTTGAAAAATAGAAGGAAGAGACTATGAGTGAAGGAATGTGGGCAGCATCTAGAAACTGGAAAGGGCAAAGAAAGAAATTTTCTCTGCCAAAACTCTTCATTTTAGCCCATTTGTGCTATCAAGACCACTAAATTTACAGCAATTTATTGTAGCGCAAGTGGGAAACAAATATAGTTGTTATCATAACTTTATCACTTTTTATAATAAATATCATAGTAAGTTATGAGGAAAAGTTTCATCCTAAAGGTATTAAAAGAAGAACACTATAAAGGTAATTTAACTAGAACGTAGTCTATAAATGTAAAAACTGTTAGAGATTCACATAACCCATATCCTACAATATTACTAAGTTAAACCTTTACTTTATATTTTATTTTATATAATTTGATTCAGTAGGTCCTATTTGATTGTCCATAATTCATTACCAGTTTTCCCCTTTTGTTGTCCAATATCCTGTTTATTTTCAAATAGTAGAGATCACAGATCCTAAATCATTTAGACATCTAGAACCTTAGGCTTTCTTTCCTTCTTCTGATTTAGCAAAGTGAAGGACTGAAAGGTGGTGTTTGATTTTATCTTTGGTATAAAAATAGCAACTGCTTTTCCGTAGTCTCCTGCATCTGAGTTATGAGCATATTGGAGTTGCTGCTTCATGTGCATTCTCAACAACAAAGAACACAAAAGCTGTTACCACTATCCAACAGATTTTGCTTTAATTCTCATCTGTTGTTCAGATGCTATTGACTTAGTTCCTTATTTAAAAAAAGATTGATTGCTCTCAGGTTCTCTTGGAGTTAGATGCGGTTTAAATATGTATTATCTTTCCAGTTATCTGCATTTCTGTGACATTCTCCTGAACATGGAGTTTGGGTGTAGACTCTAAAGTCACGCCCTGTACAGTGACACCTGGATAGGGAGTAAGCAACAACTCAGTCCTTCCCACTCCTCACCAAACCAGGAAGCATCAAGTGAGCAGTGCCCTTGTTCTTGCTTCTAAAAACTTGAGCATTTATGCATTTCTGACATTAGCTGATCTGTGCATGTTGAGGACACAGAGTAGTACAGTTTAGCTTACTTGTAATGTAACCTACTTGCATCCAATTTGAAAAGCTATGGAGGATATTGCTTTCATCCATACCTCTCTGCATTTTGTGTTACCTAGTTCCAACATTGTTATGTTTTTCTGATTTTGGGTTATCTTTTGCATGGTTTATGTGTCATCATGGGTAATTGTGGGAAAAGCTCCTGGTGCTCCAGAACCTGCCCCTGGTGGTAGCTTCCCAGTGCCCTGTTCCTTGCTGCTGCATGCGAACTTCTGCGAGCAGAGGAGCTCACATTTTTTGTTGAGGTATTTGACTTCCTTGGACGCCACTCTCTTCACAACACTGTCTTGCAGAAATGGCACATGTGGCTCCTGCAGGCAAAACACAGTGCTATTCTCTTCAAAGACAAATTCCTTGCTGCCAGCCCCAGGCCACCTTCCTGCGGCCAGGCAGATGTTTTCCAGGTGCTGAAAAGAAATATCCTTTGGCTAAGAAAATCTTGTCTATCTAGATTGGAAAAATCCCAAAGTCAGTCCCTGACCCTTAGGCATCTACTTACTTCATCAATCCTTCTGGTCTTTAAACAATAATAGCTACTGTTGATTCCTCTTGAGATAGTAAGCCACTTACTTCAAAAACTGAACTGTCAGCTCATTCTGGACACTAAATGGAAAGGCTTGAAGAGGCCTAAGTTCTCTTTTCTATTCCTCTTACGGGATTTGGTCCCAACAAGAATTACAGCTCGTCAGCTCCTTCTTAATTGTGTAACGAAGGGCAAAACCTGCCAACAAGAATCTCATCCCTGTTTTGAAAATTTGTTTGCCTGTGGTCATCTGATCAGTGGCATCTGTTGAATGCCTCCTTTCTGCCAAGTGCATTCATGATTATTCTTTCATTTATTCAACAATATTTATTAAAGTTGTGTTTCACATCA